TAACAGAGAAACAAAAGAACTAACATGTTATGACCCAATTGGGTTTAACAGATGTCTATAGAACATTCAATCCAAACACAAAAGAATATACCTTCTTCTCAGGCCCACATGAAACCTTCTCTAAAATTGACCACATAATCGGAAACCTAGCAAACATACACAGACACACAAAAAAATGGAATAACCCCCTGTATTTTATCAGACCATCATGCTTTAAAGTTAGAATTTAACAACAACACAAATTGCAAAAACCCTACAAACTCATGAAATTGAATAATGCACAATTGCACCATTCCTGGGTCAAGGAAGAAATATAAAAAGAAATTAAAGACTTCTTAGAATTTAATGAGAATGAAAACACAACATACCCAAACCTATGGGACACTTTGAAAGCAGTGCTAAGAAGAAAGTTCATAGCACTAAATGCCCACATGAAGAAACTGGAGAACAGTCACACTAGAAAATTAACAGCACAACTGAAAGCTCTAGAACAAAAGGAAATAAACTCTCCCCAGAGGAGTAGATGCCAAGAAATAATCAAACTGAGGGCTAAAATCAATAAAGTAGAAACTAGGAAAACACTACAAAGACTCAATGAAACAAAGAGTTGGTTCTTTGGGAAAATCAACAAGATAGACAAACCTTATCCAAACCAAAAGGCAGAGAGAGAGCATGCTAATTAACAAAATCAGAAATGAAAAGGGGGACATAATAAAGGACACTGAGGAAATCCAGAGAATCATCAGGTCATACTTTGAAAACCTGTACTCCAAAAATTAGAAAATCTAAAGGAAATGGACAATTTTTTGAATAGGTATCACTTACCAAAATTAAATCAAGGACAGATAAGCAATTTAAACAGACCTATAACCCCTAATGAAATAGAAGCAGTCATCAAAAATCTGCCAACCAAAAAAAGCCCAGGATCAGATGGTTTCAGTGCAGAATTCTACCAGAAATTCAAAGAAGAGCTAATACCAGTACTCCTCAAATTATTCCACATAATAGCAGCAGAAGGGATATTGCCAAGCTCTTTCTATGAGACTACAATTACTTTGGTACCCAAGCCACACAAAGACAAAACGAAAAAAGATAATTACACACCAATATCCCTCATGAACATCGATGCAAAAAATTCAACAAAATACTGGCAAATCAAATCCAAAAGCTCATCAGAGAAATCATCCACAATGATCAAGTTGGCTTTATTACAAGAATGCATGGATGGTTCAACATATAAAAATCCATCAATGTAATCCACCATATAAACAAACTGAAAAAGAAACACCACATGATCATCTCACTAGATGCTGAAAAAGCCTTTGACAAAATCCAACATCCCATCATGATAAAGGTCTTGGAGAGATCAAGAATAACAGAAACATATCTAATGATAAAGGCAATATACACCAAACCAACAGCCAACATCAAACTACATGGAGAGAAACTCAAGGTGATTCCTCTAAAATCAGGAACAAGATAAGGCTGTCCACTCTCTCCATATCTCTTCAGTATTGTCCTTGAAGTTCTAGCTAGAGCAATAAGACAACAAAAGGAGATCAACGGGATACAAATTGGAAAGGAAAAAGTCAAACTTTCACTATTTGCAGATGATATATGATAGTTTACATACGTGACCCAAAAAACTCTACCAGGGAACTACTACAGCTGATAAACACCTTCATCAAAGTGGCAGTATACAAGATTAACTGAAAAAAATCAGCAGCCCTACTATATACAGAAGATAAATATGCTGAAAAAGAAGTCAGAGAAACATCATCCTTTACAATAGCAACTAACAGCATAAAATATCTTGGGGTAACACTAACCAAAAATGAGAAAGACCTGTATAGTAAGAACTTTGAGTCTTTAAAGAAAGAAATTAAAGAATATACCAGAAAATGGAAAGTCTTCCATGCTCTTGGATAGGTAGGATCAACATAGTAAAAATGGCAATCTTGCCAAAAAACAATCTACAGATTCAATGCAATTCCCATCAAAATCCCAACACAATTCTTCACAGACCTTGAAAGAACAGTACTCAACTTCATATGGAAAAACAAAAAACCCAGGATAGCCAAAACAACCCTGTACAATAA